ATGAAAGGGTATCCCAGCATGCTAATGGTGAGCACGGTAGGGATCAGAGACTTGAGGCCAAGCTCATATCCCCAAACAGAGTCCCGGTCGATGATGCGGAAGAAGCACGAGATGTTTTGGGACTGGTAGCCAACCCGCACTTCGGCGAGCTCATAGAACGGAACGGCCATTTCCGTGTACCGTCTGGACCAGATGTTGGGGTCCAACAAGGGCCGGAAGGTGCTGAACTGCTTCGGGAGGTAGCTGACCTCCCCGGCGTCAAACTTAAAGGACGCGATGCCGTACTTGGACCGCAGCTGTTTCAGCTGGCTCTGAAACCACTCCCTGGCCGCGGGATTGGTAAAATCCAAGATGGCCCCAATGCCGTTCCACCACTTCACCATGGCGGGCAGTTTCCCCGTCGGCTCCTTGATGAAGAGCTGCCGCTCTATTCCCACGCCAAAATTGGAGGAATTGTAGTTTATAAAGGGATGCGTCCACAGGGTAACTTTAAATCCCTCTTTTTTCAGCGTCTTGAACATTTCAGTCACATTAGGGAATTTGACTGGGTCAAAGTCGAAGTCTCCGTAAGTCTGTGTGTAGGTGTCGTCGATTTCAATGTGGCTGCAATTAAACCGGTACTTTTTAATCTTTTCTGCAAAACGCAACAGCTTATCCTGGTCAATATCGTTTTTGTAGAGCGCCCACGTGGACCAGATGGGATAGCGGAAGGCGATTTCCGACGGGATCTTGGAAGGCTTGTTAAAGTACCTCCGCACCATGTATTTGTGAATGGAAGTCACGTCCGAGCCGACGCAGACGCGGTAGCTCAGCTCCGGGAAAGGCTGCTGGCCCAAGGGAGGTTTGTAGGGAGAATCCTTATACCTGGCCTGAAAGAAGAGCGACCGCTCGCTGGCGTTGAACCCCAGGTGGAAGGGCACCGAGTCGTTGATCTTGATGGCCGCTGCTTTCGAGGACAGCCAGTACCTCTCCAAGATGCCTCCAAAGCTGTCCCTGAAGGAATACACGTCGCTCGTCACAAAGGGCGTGGGCTCCTGGTACCCGGGGAGCCTAATTGGCCAGTGCTGGACGCTCATTTCGCAGCCCCCGTACCAGTGAGCGTCCTCCCAGAACATGGTGTGCTCCACCGCCGTGTCCGCCACAAACTCCTCCCAGCGGACACGGTAGCACATCACCGTGTCCTTGGGCTTGACCGTCTGAATGAAGAAATTCAGCTTCCCTTTGTCCGACCTGGTGCAGGTTAAAATCTCCCCTTCTTTCGAGCAGGACTCCAGGTCGAGGCTGCCCGACTGGAAGGCCAGTCTGAAGACCACCTCTCCATGCTGGTTTTTGATGACGAACCCATCCTTCCGCAGGTCCATCAGCTCCGTCTTGAGCCGCTCCGCCTTCCTCAGTGACGCCGTGTAATAGCACCAGGCCACCACCGCCGCGATGAGTAGGATGAGCCCCACGACTATTGCACCGATCATGGGTTTCAGCTCCTTGGACGGCTTCGGCTTCACCGGGG